ACCCGTGTTCAATCCCCCACTGTGACCAATCCATCGTTGTGTCCCCGAGCAAGACCCTTAACCCCTAGTTGCTCCAGAGGCATGCGACCTCTGACATAAATAGCAATTGTAAGTCGCTTTAGATAAAAGCATCAGCTAATAAATAAATGTAATGTTAGTCAACCACAAGCGACAACTTTTTTTTTTTTGAATTGTGCCCTGAATTACACATTATGTGCAATTTAAACAATAATTTTGTTCGGCAAGAAAGTCAGTTTGTCTTAAAACCACAAATCCAAAAGTACCATGGTGGTCCACTGGACGGGGAGGGACTTAATATTTTTTATAGAGAGAGACTAATCTGCAAAAGCAGGCCAACTGTCAGATAAATGTGGTGGAAGCAAAAACATACAATATTTCCTCTAAAATGCAATTGACTAAAAGTAGAAAGTCTGCCAAAATGGACAGTCAAATTGCAGAACCTCAAAATTGTACTGACGTAGACCTGGAAGAAATGGACTCGGTTGCATTATATTAAAGGCAAAATACACCATCACCAAACATCTACTGAGACTGATCATTGTGTGTCACAATACAGATGTTTGACAACAATGAATCAATAAATCAGGGAATAGAGTTTGCCAGAAACATTGCATTTACAGTTAGTTGGATTTTGTTTTAAAATCCCGTCGCCCTCTTGAGAAGAAATCCTGAAGGGGTTCAGCAAAATGCCGCCAAACGCTCCGAGATGAGATTTCTGGCCATTCTGAGCTCCCTCATCATATTTGGACGTTTGGTTTATGACAGCGTCCCGCAGCTCGATTGCATAGTTAGTGGAGTCCTGCGTTCGGCCGCCAACCTCACATTCTTGCACAATGACTCAACCGTGATTAGCGCTGGAAATAACTTTAAAGGAAAACCTGTTGGGCTGTACGAAAAAGAATTTCAGTGAGTTACACATTTTATTGCGTGTCTGAGATATTATGACAGTGTTCCCCCAAACAACGTGTCCGGGTCGAGTCATGATGTCAGTGGGACAAATCTGTCTAATGGATCTCTGATCCCCTCGCTACGTCAGATGTGTATACCAGAAGACTGAGAGCATATGGTGTCGTGTTGTCGTCTGCAGGCTTGTTGATTTTAACATCAGTCATGTGAGACCAGACAGGATGTTTGTTTGTGCAGGATGAGCTCAAGGTTTCCTCACTGCTCCGAAAAATGTTAATACTTAATGTCCGCGTTGGGAATTGAGCAGATATTATGGGGAAGTAAGTTTTTTAGGTTGTCCATTTCTGTGCTGATGCTGTATGTTATATTATTAAATATATAGAGATATTATAGCCAAGAAGAATGATAGCTTCAGCCTGAGGTGGTCCTGCTGTAACTCGCAATAGAATAAATCATACAGGACACCCACAGAGATGAAAGGGGTCCCTGTGAAGAGTCTGCAGTTGATTTGAGCTTTTAAAACGATAAGTCTGGTTATATTTTGTCCATTAACAACATGAAAAGACCAAAATCAGCAAGTGTCGTGTGTGTGTGTATCAAAGCGTGATATCTTTTTCCTCTGAGATATAGAGCTCCATTGTTGTCCAAAAACTTTAATTAAAAAACTATTAGCCTCACTGTAGTTTATTCTGACTCATACACCGTCTGCTACTCTAAATACTCACTAGAGCACCACATGGGGATTCATCCGCTGCTGAAAATAGTCTCCAACAAATGCACTATTTACTCCAGATTGATGAAAGTTAAAGAGAGCAGCTGTAAATTTAAAAATTTATGTGTTCAGTATGAACCTATGGGGCTGAGAGCCACAGACAGGAAGATGGTTTTGGTCTTTTCATGGGATTTGTTGACATGATGGCATAATGCCAGACATATCCTTTTTATTAATCAACTTCAGATTTCAGATTTTCAGATTTTAAAGCGAAACGCCTTATGCAGAATGGAGATTTTTCAATTGTAATGTACCTGAACGTTTTTACGATCATCAGACTAGTTTGAACTGATTTGATGTGAACAGAATTTATGTTGCAGCAAATTTAAAAGTTGTTGTGTTTCCTGCTGCAGGATAAAAAGATCATTACAGTTGATTAAGGTTCTCTTGTACTGGGAAAACAAAATGCTCCTGAAAATATAAACTGAAGATAAAAACTAAGAAGTCCCTCAAAGTAATGAAACTATAAAGTAAAGAATCCAATAAATGTTTAAAAGCTCTTGAGCAGAATGTGGCCCGGTTATCTCATGATTAAGTTTGATACCTACAAGAGACACCGAACAGCTGCTGAGCAAAACTCTTTGCATGTTTCCCAGAATACAAATTTAAATCAGAATACCAAAAATACTGATGTAAATGTGATGCGATACCCTCTGGCGTTTTATCTCTTAGCTACCAGGCAAAGTGTTTATACCGTCTATGAATGTGTTTAGAGTGTCGTATCCATTTCATGATATACTGCAGAGAGTTGTTTGCTCAGGATTTTCCCAAAGGCCTACTTGGATTCCCTTCCAGAGAAATACTTAACTTGTATAAACAATGTAAATAGTTTGCTAACATCGTCCTCAGAAACAGCGGCTCAGCCTCCAAAGCATGACACACTGCAAATTAAATTTTGGTTTAGTTTTTGGAAGGCTGAGCGATGACAGAAGAGATAAGTGATTACAGATTTAGAGACATTAAGATGCATCTTTTAGAAATTCTGTAGCTTTAATGGAGTGTTGTCCTGCTTATTTCGCCTTTGGTACATGATTTCATATATTTTTATTGTTTGTATTAGCTAATGACAAAGTTTCCGTTATGTATGCAACATGACTTTATTCTGTGAGAGCTGAAAAACGTACTCTCTGAAAACATTTGGATAGATTAAGGTCATAGGCTTCATGTTTGCACATTTGAATAATAAGTTTATTGTGTTTAATGACAAACAGAGGAAGGAACTTCTGAATTAACCAATCCTGAAATGAGGATTTATTTGCATTTTTACAGCTTTGATCTTTCATAGCTTTTTTTGTTTGTTGTTCAAACTGAATAACCCCACATTTAAGGCCACTGACAGCGACTACTTACCAGGAACCATGTGTTGGTGCTGTTACAGCATTCTTTACCCGAGACGTGTCTATTGGCTGTGAGAGTCTCGTTCATGCTTCAGCCTCTTGTCACACGTTCCTGTCTCTGAGTCTCACAGCTGACATGTTTCCTGTGAACAGTCGCAGGTTGGAGGGAAGAAGACCAGCGTCATCCTGCAGAAGCTGGATCCCAACACGCTGTACTCTGTCACCGTGGCCGCCGTGTATCCCAGCGGCGTGAGCGCAGACATCTCTGGCGAAGGACAAACCAGTAAGAGACATTCAAAGAATATAGTTCTCACTGTACTGCAGTCGGGTCATTTAAAAAGTTTAACAGTAAATATTTGTTTCTGCTACTTGTGTATCTGACGGCGGTGGAAGAAGTACTCAAGTAGTGATATCAGAAGGAAAATAAGTTCTACATTGATTTAAAGTATCAACATGTACTCACAGTACTAATGGTGAAAAAAATTTATAAATCGATCGAGAAAAGATACAAAAACAAGGTGCCACTCTCCAATTTAGCGATGCAACTATTTTCATTATTGATTAATCGTTTAAAAAGTGAATAAATGCAAAGTAACGTCTTCAGATTGCTTCTTTTCTCTACCCAACAGTCCAAAGACTCTTCATTTAAAAACATAAATGACAAAGAATAGCACTAAATCCTCACATTTAAGAAGATGAAACCAGGACATATTTGACATTTTAGCTTTTATAAAATGATGGAAACGATTAATCATTTATCAAAATCAATCAAAAATGGTTGACAATTTTCTTTCAATCAACTAATCGAATCATCGACTGGTCGTTGCAGCTCTAGAGGTAAATCCATGTTTTTCCAAAAATGTCAGTTTTGAAATTCTCAGATAAACTGAAGCACTGCATGTGTGCCTTTGTGGGTTCTGAAAATCAGCCTATTTTTTAAGGTAGAAAAAGGATTCCCTTTGACAAAGCAGAAAACAATTTGTTTTTATAGCTCATAAAAATTAAAGTTTGGGAGATGCATGGTTTTCACAGGACAGCTGTACAGAGAAAGTAGCAAGGAAGGAAGTGAAGACACACATTGTTATGGTAATATTTAATGAGCTTAAGTCATGTTGAATATAAAATCTTTTATTTGCAAAGCCCGAAACTGCAGCTTTCAGAAACATGTAGTGTCAAAGTGAAGTACCAGCAGCACAGTTAACTAAATGGAGAAAAAAAACAGACACATCTGCTGATTAAACATCTGTATTTACGTTCCCTCAGAGCCTCTGGGTGGAGTGAAGAACCTGCAGGTGTTGAACCCCACCATGACCACCCTGAACGTGCGCTGGGAGCCCGCCGAGGGTCTAGTGAAGGAGTACAAAGTCATTTATGTTCCCGCCGCCGGAGGAGCTGAGAGCATGGTAGGACTGGTAGGACAACCATGTGCAGCGTTAAACAAGACGCCCAAATCATTCAACTGTGTCTGTCCCACCGTAAATGTTTGTGAAGGTTGCACGATCAGAAAAACAGCGGGGTTTCCCCCCCCCCCCACAGCCCTGATTCTTCAGACTTCTCCTTGTTTATAGTTTCTCGTGAGACAGAGTTTAAATGTCAGCTTTGATTCGGTCGTGCGTGTCGATAAAGATACTTGACAGATAATGAACACAATTTAATGAGCGATTTCACAGCCGTTTTCCTTTGGCTAATGTGCTTATCCTGCGTTGTCAAATAGCCCCCAGGCTAACAGCTCCAGCCAGTTTGTTACTGTTGAAGTTCACTGGGGGTTAACGGGGGGGTTAATTGCAGTGCTCAAAGGCGTATTGAAAGCTGGTGATGCTGGCATTGTAGCCACTAACCAACTTTCCATAGTTATTTCTAGCTGCATGCCTGTTCCTCTGTCTTCTGTCTGGGTCTGGAAGCAGCTAATTTGTGTGATTTGTTGTCAAACTCAGGAAACGGTGACTGCAGGCACGACCAACACCGTCTTGCGAAGCCTGCAGCCCGACACCCTCTACACCGTCTCTCTGGTGCCGGTTTACGCTGGGGGAGATGGAAAGATGATGTCTGAAAATGGAAAAACAAGTAAGACTGAACCCTGAAACTGAACCAATTAAACTTTTACAGGATAAGTTCCTTCAGATGCATCATCTCATTTTCAAGAAAGTCCTGACAAGAAATTACACTACTTAGTATTCCATGAAACCTACATACATGGTACATTAACTGAGCTTTACTGAAATGTTCCGTAAATAAAAGGTTAATCTCCTTGAGTAAAATGTGCTCTTTCACCCTTTTTTGTGTATTACAGCACATCAATGGTGTGTTAAGTTGCTCTTTAAATTTGTGTTTGGAAACAAAGAAGAGAAACAGGGACAAGGACCTCAACACCAAAACATATGGTGTAAATAATAAAAAAGGATATTGTGAAAGTATCTCAATTAAATTAAACACCAATCTGGTTTACACAAATGAACAATACCTTTATTCTATACTCCCTCCTGACTCTCACTGAAACATTGGGCCTCAAGCAAGAACATTTTCTTCATTATCTTAACTTTCACTCACTTTTTGTTTGCGTGTCCGATTCAGCAAACACTCCCACTTCAGGTAATGTGTGTAAGTGAACCCTGTAAACATGATGAATGTCTGTGCGTAACTGAGCTCGCGTTCAGGAGAAATGAAAATTAGCATAATTAACACCCCAATAATACCATATAAGGCATCCTGCCCCATATGTCAAGAAGCGTTCATTCCTGAAAACGACATCGTCTGATCGGAGATTGGAGTCCTGCTTTCAAAAAGGAAATCTATGATTTTTAACAGCGCCAGCAGTGAAATTAACGGAAAAGGGTTGGATCGTTGTGGCTGTCTGCGGAGTTGCGCCTCTCACGATTGTCTCTCAGGTACAGAGACGAATTAACCTTCAATTACTGCATCATTTAAGCCTTTTGATGTTGTAGTATTACACAATAGCTGTTATGCAAGCTAAAGGAGCAGACCCAGAGACCAAAATGTGCAAAAGAGATTATTGCCAAACAGAGTAAGTAAGTAATTTAAGGGTCTCTTGGTTTTGGGTGGGGCTTTGAATCGGGGAGCAAAACCAGGCGAGGCAGGTGGACAGGCAGCCCAGAGGGACTGAGGATCCGAGCAGAGGGAAGAGTTGTGTAGATCCAGCGCAGGTTCGGGCTGATCGGGACTGTGGGACGGAGGCAGGAGTTGGACCAGGAATGACTGGAGGCAGAAAGAAAAAGGCCTTAACCAGGGAGCAAAAACACTGAGACACGTTACAAGAGCTGGAATGAGACTAACTGTTCGGGAGAGGAAGGCATGTAAAGCAGAGGAGGCTGCTGCTGCCGCCAAACTCCTGCACACCTGATCCAACTCTGCCAATAAAGCACACACTGACAGAGAGAACATTTATATGGATAATGTCAACGCAATTATGAAGTGTAATTTAATATTTTGTATTATAATTTAAGGTTTGGACAACGGCAGACTAACTAACAGGCTCATATACTGCGTTTGTGCGGCAAGTTCTCCTATACCACTCGTACAAGCCACTTAAGATCAAATCTGTTCGTACGAGTGGTTCTCGCACGATGCCCATTATGAGCCACCTGACCTGTCCTCTTGTTTAGGACCACTGGGAGGAGTGAAAAACCTGAGGGTGTCAGACCCCACCATGACCTCCCTGACTGTGGACTGGGACCCGGCTGACGGAGCAGTTCGCCTGTACAAGGTCTTCTATGTGCCCGCCGCTGGTGGCCGCGAGGAGATGGTGAGACTCTTAACATCTGAGGACAAAAACAGATGCTGCCAGTTCGGAGACTAACCTTTTTATTATTAATCTTGGTGAACAGGAGCAAGTTCCTACAGGCACCACCTCCATCGTCCTCAGGAACCTGATGCCCGACACGCTCTACAAAGTGTCGTTGGTACCGGTCTATCCTGCCAGGGAGGGGAAACGCCAGTCAGAGGACGGAAAGACATGTAAGTTACTTTTTTGTAACCTGTGAATGTTCAATAAATTAGACGTTCCTGCAGGGGCTGGAGGTTTTTATTATAACCAGTTAATGTAAAGTATATTTGGACTGCAGCAAAGTTAAGACCAACAACAATCCTTTTCCCTCTGCCAGTGCCTTTGGGAGGAGTGGGCAACATGAAGGTGACCAACCCGACCATCACCACTCTCACCGTAACCTGGAATCCTGCTGACGGCAACGTTCAGGGCTACAAAGTGATCTACGTTCCTGCAGATGGGGGACTGGAGATTGTGGTAAGATCCTCTTGCGTTTAGCTTACAGGAAACTCTCTGATGAAACCTGGTAACCAAATAACCGCCAGGGCTCCCTGTAAAGACGACGATGCAAAACGAGGAAGAGGAGTTTGGTTGTGTACGTAGAGGAACTGCACGCAAGATTGTATTTCCTAAAGTTACTCCAAGACAACAAACTCCCCTCCCTCGTCTTCCTGCAACAGCTCGCCTTCAGACTTCAGTTTCCTGTTAAAAACCAAGGCTGTCTCCGGTAGTCGCTCGTAGGGATCCTTTCCATGATCTTGTCTATCAGTGGCAAAAAGAAGCACTTTTTTGAGGACAATACTTTGCAGCCACTGCAGTTGGCTCAGCTGCCGGGAAAACCGCTGAAATTATCCTTTAAGTAAACTGTCTGTCGCTGTTCTTAGGCTTGAATGAGTTCAACAACAAACAGCTGTTAATTGTAAATGAACATGACAGCCAGCAGATCATTGCTTTAACTTTAGTTTAGATTAATTAGCTAAATTGTTATGATCCCTGTGGGAAAATCTTGGATTCATGCAGAAGAAACACAATGAGTGATGAGATGATTATAGAGAAAATAAAGTTTATTTAATCCCAAAGACCAGGTAATAACAACCAAACAAACACACTGACAGTAGCACATGCAGACACGAAGTTTTATTAGACTGATGCAGCTGAAACTGTCTTTTTAATCAAAACTGGATATTAATCAGTGCTGCCTCTGTCATGAGGAGATTTTAGAGGCTCTTATACAGAGGTTAGCTAAGTTATCTGACCCAGCTATAAAGTAATAAACTGAGTTCAGACCAGTGTCTTCTTCAGTTGGTTCAGATCTTATTGGCTGTTGCAGTTTGTTGCTGCATGACTTTGCAATCTGATGTGGAAGATGTTCAAGAATTCCATTTATCTGGCTCACAGTGTCGGGTTGTTAACACCTTTACTTCGTGACAAGCTCTCGGCTAGTTGAAATACTGTACACAGGGACATTGTGTGCCTTTTAAGAGCCACTCTGTGTCTACTGATGTAGTTTGTGCCTCCTTGAATGTGTTTACACTTGATGAAATGAGATCCTAGGGTAACCTTTCAATGCATGCAGTAAAAATAAATAAATGCATAAAAATCTGGACAAATTTCCAGGAGCGACGTGCTTTTTTTAAAAAACAATCCATTTTGAAATGTCACAGGTTGTGCAGCAGAAGTTAATAAAAAAAGCTGTCAGACTTTAAAAAAAAAAAAAAAAAAACGATCAAAGCTCTCAACAGGGATTTAGTGATGTCATGCTTTTTGACAGGATAATCCCATCATGCAGTTGCCACACAAAAGCATCTAAATCCCTTTGCAATAGGAGTATCCCTCATCGTTGAAGTGCATGTTTTTGGTGTTTACATCTCCAAGTAAGTATGTGTAATAAAATAAGTATGTTAATCGCCTGCCGTCAGACTGTAGAGAGCCGTGAAATAACGGCTTCACAGCGCGGCTGACTGACAATTTGGCTGCTCGTGTTCAGAAGTGGTTCATTTGTCTCCGGCGGTGACATAACTTTTTTTTTTTTTTTTTTACCCCCAATTAGCATGTCAAAGTAAATTTTACAGAGAAACTTCTCTGCCAGAGGAATATGAATGCTGTTCATTTAGTTTCATATGCTGCCTTCTTCTTCCGTTACATATAAAATGAATCATAAAAACAAAGGTTTTTCCCATTTTGAAAAATGGAAACATTTACATGGCATTGAGGAGATACTTTTCTTTATAAATGTCCTTTTTGTTTGAAAAGTTTTTTCTTTTCATGTTTTGTTTTTTTCCTTTTACAGTCATGTTTATAAGTATTTTTATTTTTACTTAAGGAAACACTGAATTAAGTTAAGTTTGTTTTTTGCTGCCATTAAGTTTGGTCGGTCAAATTGCTGGGAAACGTAAAATGTTCCAGTAAATAAAAATAAACACTTTTCAACCTGGGAAAGTGGTGTAAGTGGAAAGTCTTACGACGGTTATTAATTTAACTTTATTTAAACAGGGAAAACAGACCCGGATCTCTTTTTTTGCTGTGTAAACATTTTAACATGAAGAGTAGACACACAAACAAGTGAATATAGATTTAAAAACAGTACAGTAATGGAAACAATTACATACAACATCATATTGATTCTCCATAACATTTCTAAATTGAGTAAGTGACACCAGAGTGTTCAAATTGAATTTGGTCTTTGAGTTTGTTCCTTAAGTATGGAGCGAAGGAATGAAAGCAGTCCTACCCAACTCTGCGGAAACCGCTGGAGTCTCTAGAGAAATCCACATCTGTGATCTGGTATTGTTTGTCTGATATTTGTTAGTCTAGTAACAATTAAGGATGATATATAGGGAGGTAGTTTTCAAAAAAGTGCTTTGTAGATAAACAAAAGAGCATGTTGCTGGATAAAAGACTGTTATTTAAGAGACTGTTCTGCACAAATGATGTTTTTAATATTGTCACAAAATATTCAGCACAAAATATATTAGTTTCAGTCATCAAAAATAAATACCAGTTGAACAGTAATATTAGTCTTTCCACTTGCTGAAGGCTGAAGGTCAAAGGTCAGGGCTCTTGTGGGGTGGTGGTTGTTAAAGGGCAGTTCTGCAGGGTGTTGAGTTCACCACTTATGTCTTTGCAGGAGCAAGTGTCAGAGAGCACCACTAAAACCGTCCTGGAGAAGCTTCTACCGGACACCCGCTACACCATCACCGTGGTCCCCGTCTACGCAGAGGGAGACGGACCCAGTCTGACGGACGGCGGGAAGACAAGTGAGTGTCTGTGGTTATTGGCAGTGTGGTCTTTAAGATTTTATTTAAGTTCAAGTGCCTCCATGAACCTTGAAAAGCACCTGAGCCTCCAAGAAGTCCTTCAAATCAATGGAGCGTTACCTTTCAGAGTCTTTCTGAAGAACAGCTGCATACAACCTTTTTCTTAGTTGACAAAAGTGTTGCTACGCAGAAAATTGTGCAGAAAAGTCTTCTTTCTTTCCACGGCTTTTATTTTTTGCTTCCTTGTCTAGTGCCTCTTATGAATTAGATATCAGTCACATTTATATTTGATATGGTCAGTTAGTAAGTGTTGTTTCGTGTCAGTTGTTTTTCTCCAAATAAAGACTGGATAAATGAGTGAAGCGGGGAAATGTATTTCACTAATGAAGGTGAAGAATTACTGAAGTTATTTGACTTTAATCTCCACTCTCCAAACTCTGCTATGGATTTATTGACGTCAGCAAGGAGCAATCTGAATGACAGAACCACAAAATATTTTCCCAATTGTAGCCCAAATATACAAAAGCATCTATCTCAATGACAGCAGAGTAAAACAGAGTCTGAATCAGTGGACCTAAAGGAAAAAATCATTTTTCTTGCCGTCCAACATATGAACAAACTGCCTCCCGGAGACACCAGTAAACTCTGACTAGACAGCAGCTGTGTGACGATCTGATCCAAGCATTAAATTTGTCTTCCTGCTTCGTGTCTCTCCCCAGAGCCGCTGGGTTTTGTGAGGAACCTGCAGGTTACCGATCCCACCACCAGCACCCTGAACGTCCGCTGGGAGCCCGCTGAGGGAAACGTACGCGAGTACATCGTGATCTGGGTGCCCGCCGCCGGAGGAGAGCAGGATGTGGTAAGACTGTGTAGATACACTGTGTAGATATTATGCCACCAGGTTTGAGACATTTCCTAAGACGAGTTGATCTTTGCTGAAATCTAAAAGACATGTGATGGCAGAACTTATGTAACTGTCGAGAGTTGCCAGTTCCAGATGTTGGAGATTTACCAGCAGCTGGGAACTTCATCCATGCCCCATTAGTATCTTGGTTTTTCTAACTGCCTGAAATGTGAAATGAGAGATGTTTTAATTCAAACCACTTTAAGACATTTTGGCTACCTTAAAGTCCAAATGATTATTCAGTGGCAGTTAGAAGAGACAGATTAACCTTTTATTTTAATTGGGTATTTCTAACTGGGGTGGCGATGGAGCAGTGGATAAGACACATGCCTTTGGTGTGAGAGACCCGGGTTCAATCCACCACTGTGTCCCTGAGAAACTTAACCCCTCGTTGCTCCAGAGGCGTGCGACCTCTAATATATACAGCAATTGTAAGTTGATTTGGATAAAAGCTTCAGCTAAGTGAATAAATAAAAAATCCTCTCTCTTCTGACTGGCTCTGTTTACTATGATCATTATTCTTTTGTATTATTTTAAGGTGACTGTTGATGTTTCCAACATTAAAGGTACTCAGGGTGAAAAATGGGAGGAAACTGTATTTTAAGGAGTTAAATAAACAGGAAAAAAAAGAAAAGAGCTGCTGCAGGGTCCCAAAATACAAATAATTAAA